CTTGTCATATGTTGTATCACATTAATCCAGTCATGATTGGACTGTTTCTTTCAAAAGCATAATTCATTCTGTGCTTCTGTTGTTCTGTTCCTGGTAGTTCATTCTGCAATTCTGTTTGGTAGCTTCTAATTTGTATTTTAATGACAGGTTTTGCAAGACTCTTTCATGCTTCTCATTCTTCGTAAAAGTTCCCGAATATTCAGTTGTTGTAGAATATGGTAACTGTAATGGAGCAGTGGAGGGAAATCAACCATAAATGGAAACTACTGTCTCAGAGCAATCACCTAAGACTTCAGTGAAATTTCAGCTCAGTGTCTGATGAGCATGGGGTAGTTGTAGGATTCTTTCTTAAATTCTTTAAATCTAGTACAGTGATTTAAGGAAAATCCTGTGCTGGCTGATCTATAGATTTCTGTCACAAGTATTATTTGTATATTGCCTTTACTCTGAGTATATCCTAAGAGTAAATAGACGGATTAGTGCTTTTATTGAAACTAAGAAATCACCTTAATTTTTGTTTTCCTATCTGAATTTTTTGTTGACTTTTCTGCAAGAAATATGTTTAAGAAAAATACATTTTAAAAAATTCTAAAGTTTCATGAGAACAAGCTAATACATGCTCAGATTGCCCTTTTAAGGTAAGGCAGCTTAAAATAGTTGTGTGTAGTCCGAGAATGACAAGTTGAATTTTCTTGAATTCTATCTAGGTGTTACGTTTACAACAAAAAGGGACGGCTGGTAAACGCACCGTATGTGGACAACTCTTACAAGTGGGCTGGCGGTGGCTTTCTGTCATCAGTAGGTGACCTCCTCAAATTTGGAAATGCCTTGTTATACAGTTATCAAGCCGGACAATTTAAAAACACTCACAGCAAACTTCTTCCTGGGTACCTCAAACCAGACACAGTGGCGATGATGTGGACTCCAGTGCCAAAAACGGAAGTATCGTGGGACAGGGATGGTAAATACGCAATGGCTTGGGCTGTAGTAGAGAAAAAACAACAATGTGGCTGTTGCAGACAGCAGAGACACTACGCATCGCATACCGGTGGTGCAGTGGGGGCAAGTAGTGTCCTCCTGATTCTTCCTGAAGAGCTGGACTCGGACACTATAGATACTGGGCTGGTGGCACCACCTAGAGGAGTAATTGTTAGCATTATCTGCAATATGCAATCAGTTTCACTCAACAGCACTGCCTTAAAGATTGCGAGGGAATTTGATAAAGAAAAATGGGCACAATATATAGATTAAAGAAAAGAGATACGCATAACTTAACTCACTGTGCTGAAACATGAAAAACAAATGGAGAAGGGTGTAATTGGACTTGGAGATCGCTAGAATACATGAAGAAAAAGCATCCAAAATTCACTTAATTAACTTCTGCTAGTGGTGCTAAACTTACATGTAACTGGAATTCATCTCTCAGGGAAGTTCCTAACTTACAGAAAAGGAGAATGTAACAGTCAAATGTGAATTCCTGTAGTACCTGTGTAAATTACCATTGTATTAGCAGGTTTTTTTTCTCATCCAGTCAAGCATTTGACCAAGATTAAAAAAACTAGCATCGGTTTCTTGCACTGAAAAGTACAACAATAAATTACCTACCTTAAATGTTAAACTTTAAAAAAAATTCACATCTTGATTAGAGCACACACAGACATTATTCATTATTCTCACAGTTTCAGTCTGCCAAACTGTTCAGTATTACTTTTTACAGAATAATAGTTTTACTGTTTTTTATATTTTCACATAGCGCTTTTCTTACTTGCTTAAAAAGCAAAAAAATGCAATGAAACCCAAACCTTGAAGCTGCATCCAGAATGCTGACTTATAGCAGAAGTACACTTTTGTCAGAGCTGTGGATTGTTAAGAATTAGAAAAGAATGAAGCTAGAGTAATGTAAGTAAAAATCTATTTTTTTGTCATTTAGATGTCCTCTCTCCCATTTTTATTGGACACAGAGAATGTGTGAAACTAGTTTACTGTGAGATAAGGGTATTAATTCTACAGTCAGATATGCCTGAATAGCACAACATGGTAAGCTGTCAAACTGTCTCATTGTTTTTGAAGGATACACATGCTCACTTTGGTAGCCAGAAATGGCACTGTGTTCTGTAATGCAGATATTCCTTTAGATATAGGAATTAGGAACTCAAATAACTCTACTTGAAGCCAGTAGTAGAAATTTCACTGAATTTCACTGAATTT